TACAATATTACTTTAAAGTATTTCATCAAAAACGTGTGGATGCAGGCGCTGCATGGATCGGAGATAGTAAAGATAGTAGAGAGCATAGTTGACGTTCCAGGCTCAAAGATGTAGGGGAACATCTTTTCCACAGCAAACAAGTGAAGAGTCCAGTCAGCTTCTCTCTCAGCCCGAACAAAGGCCATCACAATGAAGGAGTACTCAACCCAAAGTCATGTGGTTTTGCTCTGGGTGCTTTTGGTGGCGAGACATTGCGTGAGTGCAGCCATGGTGTGCACGTTAGTTTTGGAGAGAATGGGTCGCAGTAACTACTCAACAAGAAGTCTCAATGCTTTTACATTTTGTGGGTATTTTTTCCGGGTCAACATTTTTGGCACCCCCACAAATGCAGAGCCAAGTATGTCTTCAATGCCACTTCCTCCCATCAGGTATCCCACAGCACTAACAAAACTCCTCAGCATGTGCATACCACCAAGTCTCGGGATGAACTTCTGAAACTGTTCCTTGTCAACCCATGTGATGTGGACAAGTTCTTTGTACAGCTGGTAGTCACTGGTGAATATTGTCCATCCATGACCAGTGAGCTGTGTCAGACCATTGGCTTCAACCAATGCTGTCTTCACGGTGTCTGGCTCAGATGGGATAATGTCCAGGAATGGGCTGTACATCACATCTGTCTTTGGTTGGGGTTGTTGTTCTGCACTGCGGGTACGTTGTGTGTTGTAACCTCCATACTCAGGTCTTGCATCTTCGCCGAGTGCCTGTTTAAAAAATGGCAGATCTTGAGTTGCAGTTCTATTCAGAGAAGCCTGTCGTGTGGCAAGAAAGACCAGAGATGAGACATGTCGCAGGCTCAGTTCTTCCGGCATAAGTGGTCTCGTGTTTCCTGTGTACCGTTGAACTGCAACGTCACCAAGTGTCAGATTATCGGACTTGGTTTCTGTTTTGCTGAGACGCCTGATGGCTGGAATATCTTGCATTTCCCACACTTGCTCTGACTTCTGCGTGTTGGCTTGTGCCAGTATCTTTGCTGAGCCGTGCGTTGATTTCTGGCCTTTTGGAAATGATATCTGCGTGTCAAAGTTGTCAGCTACAACTTGAACAAGTCCATGTTTACTGTCAAAGTAGGCCAGTCCTCGTGGAACAGATGCCATAGCAACAGTAGCTGAACACCGAAAGCGCCTTAGTTCGTCGCATGAGGTGGTGACTCCATACGTGTGAAGCCCGTCTATAAATTTCCTCTGTCGACTCAACAGAACACAAAATCCAAGTTGCAAGTTTGTGAAATAGTTGCTGACTGTACTCGTAACAGTGTGGCCGATCATTGCTGCTGGCAGTGTAGAATCCAGTTTGGGGTCTTTGGCTGCAAGGACCGATAGCAAAGGCTGCACTCATTCATGACAAATCCCCTAGGCAGACGAATTGGGGACGTATGGCGATTGTTCTTTGGACATTCTGCTTTGATCACACTAACCAAGCATGATATGGCTCGTCCATCGCAGTCTCCTTCATCATTTACAATACGCATCTAGACTGAAGCCGTGCTCCTGAAGAAGAGGATGGAAGCCACACCTGGTGAGACAGGATCAGCAATTCTGGATGTAGCTTCTCAGATACATGGTTCAGGAGTGTACATCGCGATTTGTCTCCCCCCCCCCCCTCAAGTTCAATATAGCGTTCATGGACTTCCACACTATTCCACATTCGTGATTTGTTTCATCGAATGTCGTCAACCAGCATACCGAAGACATAGTCATGCTTTTTAGGTGAGCTAGTTGATTGCGTTGGATAGTTTGTGTAGAACCAGGAGTGGCAGTCTCTCTGATACCTAGCGTCTGCTAAATCACTGACTGTTGATGACACACGGAAGCTGACATCCATTCCCCATTTGTCCCCACGTTCCTTGGCACGTTTTTTTTGTAGTTCTTCTTTGGTGATCTTCCTCCCTTTCTCCTCTCCAGTTCGGCATAATAAGTAGGCTTTTTCCAACGATCTGGGTGTTTTCGGGAGTATCAGTCAGCATGCTTCTCCACACACAAAAAAAAACAATGTTCGTGAAAATGAAACGAACTAGTACTGCCCCTATGACGTTTGAGTTCTTCTTCAAAAAGTTCCTCAGTCTTTTGCTTTAGTAAAAATCGCTTATTATGGTCTCTGGAACAATGTGTGCTCACACAGTTCTTGTGACGCAGTATAAACTCAGCATCATCTGAAAGTCTCTGACTGAGTCCATCATCTCGTTGCCGGCTTTCTTCTAGTAGACCACTAATCCGTCTCGATTTGTTTGATCAGCGATGGGTTCTTTATCGCCTCAGTATGAGTTTAAAAGTAATTGAGAGAGACACTGTGTGTATGCATGTGCATGAACCAGCCGGATCGCATCACGTCCTCGTGGTGACGTAGCGGTTTCCTACATTCTTTGTTTCTACGGAGGTGTGGTGTGACGAAGCACTGTCTGCCAATGTCTTCTTCCTTTGCTAGCTGAGTCCATATTACAGCAGGCCGTGCGGGGCACCTTTCGGTGCATCCTGTGACATCACGGCGAGAGGAGCTATATAATTAGTGTTACGCCTAGTACCCTCGCGCGAATCTTGGTCGACTCGTACATGGTATAGAGGTGGGTAAAATCCGGATAAACTATCCGGATAACCTGATAATTCTCAATGAAATATTATCTGAACTCAGACTCTAAACTCTCTTTCCTGACCCGTTGGCCGCAGTGAGTGTACCTATTTGTTGATGAAGTAATGCTAACCTGTTTATCTAAGAGATTTTGTCGAAGCGGTTCATAACATATTATTTGCCGAAGAGGTGTACTAACATATTATTATTATCCGTATTTTGGTAAAGCGACTCATTACCCAGCCCTAGTCGCTCCTTCATCATTCTTACATGATACATGTTGGTGTATTTCAACCAGCAGAAAAAACTATGCCCATAAGATACAAGTTGGCCCCCGACTGATATGAAGTCTAGAGACCCCGAGGAAGCAGAATCACCAAAGAAAAAAACGTTGTGATGAAAAACAAGGTTCTAGTACTTTATATAGACCCGGCTCTCGGACTATCTCCCTCAAGTCTGACCGTGATCGCACGGAAAATATCAAGCTGGGCTTGATTTCTCGACCGAGTCTCCAAACCATCGTTCAATCGTCCAAATTGTGTACAATTTTGTGGTTACACCAAACGATTTATCGTATGATCGCTAGATCGTCCAGTTTTTGTACAATAATTTATCGTTACGTGTAAACGGGCCTTGAAAAGCGACAAACAATCTGAACGCACTGACACCATCATTTATTTAACTAAAGAAAACACACAGAGCCAATGAAAAAAAGGCGGGGGGGGGGGGGGGGGGCGCTTTTGTCTAGTATTGCGAGGATGTAAAAACTAGATCAAGAGTGCAGCCATGCCAAGGCACGTCCCACAAGGCAGCTTCAGCCCCCGAGCCTAATAGAACCATCAGTTTCTTTGTCTCGGCCTAGAGCCATGCAAGATCAGTAGGCCCCACCCCAGTAGTTAGCATAATTTGGCATGTCTGTGGGAACCTAAGCGCCGAGGCTTAAGGGATAAACCAATGAAATTTCAGTCATCCAGTCGGAAGAAGCTCTTGGTTGGATGGAGCTACATTCGTATTTCACGTAGGCCTATAGATTATCTAGATCTAATAATATTATTATTATAGTAAATAGTTGTCGACACACAGACCAATCAGATCTCCTTTCAAGTTATTGTGCCTCTGACTGGGGTTTCATTTAGGTGTTCGTGGAGTTTCGCTTTTTATCTTGATACGCACTGTTATGTTTTGTCTCTTTCAAAGATTAAAAAAATAGTTTTATTTTGATTTTAGCCAAAGGAGTAGCTTTTTGCTTGAGAAACCCAGGTGGGGCTGAAGCTGCGAGCTCCATCCTTCAGGACCTCTATACGTTCTTATACTATCCCTCTGGCCGTCTAGCTCAGGACAATACCGATGGATCAGACCTAGACGGTCAGAGGATAGTATAAGAACGTATAGGATCAGACGCATCCCATTAGTAACCTCCGCACAAACCAAGATAAAGTTTCCTAAGTTTATCCTGTTCTAGATCTACCTCAGGACGCGAATAAAGCCTGGACAAAGTAACCCAACGGGCGGAAAACAATAGCTTTCACATAAGAAACGTTATCTGAGAAAGAATTGGGGATTAACATAATGAAACAAGATTACTGTGTAAAAACAAACAAACAACAACAACAAACAAACAAACAAACAAACAAAACAAAACAAACTGGAGTTGCCATTCTATGATTTTTTCATTGTTCACGCAACGCTATCAAAAGACCACGGACAAGAGAATTCCATACATTTTATAGTGAATGAAAGTACGAGAGAGACACCCCTCCCGTGTACCCCACTTTACACACTGGAAATCCCCTAAGATGTCCAAGACCCTTATGTCCATTCAGGTGTCCCAAAAACTGCATTTGTCGTTTCCTGGTTGTTTTTAACACTGAGCGTCCCTCGTGGGCTTCATCAATCACTACCTCAGTTGATTTCTTTTCCTTCCACGAAACTCTTAGCAGTCTCCTAAGAAACCACATTTCTGTTACTTCTATTCTATTTTCACTTTCTTTAGTGATTGCCCAGCATTCACAGCCATATAGATCTAGAAGGGTTGACCATGATATATAATTTCAGAACTTTCATTTTGGTGGTCTTTGAGATGTTTCTATTTTTCAGGACTGGGCTCATTTGATTGAAACTAGCCTTGGCCTTTGTAATTTTCCGTTTTATTTCTGTGGAACAATTGGTATCAGATGTTATCATATTTCCTAGATATTTAAACTCATAATCTTTTTATTTAAAAAAAAGGCAGTTTATCGAATAAATACATGCCATATGTTTTTGGTGTGCCATAGAATACGGTATGGTGTTCCATACAAAGATAGGCAACCATTAAAAATGTTGCCGACGTAGCGCTCGACACGAGGAGCGCGAGTTATCGCATCTTCCGTCTTCCACTTGTCCACGTTCGCTCGCTGTGTTCAAAAGGCTGTGTGGCGTATGGCTGTGGTGTGGGTTGGGTTCTTGACTAGCCTCTCGCTGGACTAGGAGGCCTAGGGTTCGCCCGTGTTGGAACCATGACGCAGTGCTAGGCTAGTGCTTATCATCATAGCTTAGATCTAACTTATATGCATGCGAGAAGACTTCAAGAAATCAAGTGGGCATTGGGTATTTGTGTTTTCCAGGAAAGCGGGAGCACTGTTTGGATGCATCGCAGCTTCCCATTAGCCTACTGTGTTGTGTGTGATTTGTGGTCTATGGATTTACGCACAGGGTATCGGTCGGCAGAAGATGATAGAGACGTGAGTGTGTTTGTTATTGATCAGGCTCCCTGAGCCACGAGATATGACCTCGCGCGTTCTGCTTGCGATCTGTGTTGAAAGTGATTGTAATAATTAAAGAGTGATAAGAGGTCTAGATTCTAGATCTAGATCTAGAGCTGTAAATTGTTTCGTCCTTTGTTGGGTGGGTTACTGAGTGAAGACAAATTCGTGGGTTCTGTGTAACAGTGAAACCGTTAGGCTGTTTCCCCTCCTATTGGGATGCCCTGAATGTGAACCCAGACTGTCGATGTGCCAGTGAAAAATTTCGTCTGCGATCATGGATTCTGATGACTTCTTCCCTGGAGGCGGGGAGGATGTTGTGGATGAAGAGTGGTATGAAAAAAGTAAGTTCCAGCATCATTTTAAAAATTCTTGTCATAGATCTACTCCCATTAAATCTTTTTTTCTCTATGAGTTTGATTTGCCTCTACTCTAGATCTCTAATCTAGATCTGTACTCTCTCTTTCTGCGTAGCCTGCATGTAATAATGTCGTTGTTATCATATATTATATTATCATACGTAGATCTAGATCTAGATTCTAGTAGGCCCTATCTTATTTAGATCAATATATAAATCTAGAAATATCTAGATAGATCTAAATCTAGAAATCTAGATCTATATCATTATCATATATAAAATCAACTCAGCCTAGTCTTGTTCTTACTGATCGAAAAACTTACTAGGCCGCCTACATGTGGCAAAATTTCTTTTTATTATAATCTCAATGCGAAGTTTTTGTTTGTTTCTTTTTTATATTGTCTGTTATTGCTTTCATCAGTTTGGGGCAAGCCTACCAAGGTCAATACGAATTGAATGAAAATTAAAATCGACAGGGTTAGACCACAAATTACTGGTGATTGGACACTCACTCAGGGCTCCCCTTTTCAGGCCAACTTAAGAGGTTCCTTCACCCTTTGGTTTTCTATCTTAAGATTTAAACCCTTGGTTTAGAAACTGAAAGGGTTGTTGGTTTTTTGTTTATATGTCTGACAAACTAGATCTAACCCTGAAAAGTCAATTTCCTAATTTCATTGTTAGAATTTTTGCATGTAAACATTTAACTCACACACACATTCACACACAAAGTGAACATGACTATGATTGAATGCTAACGATTTTTTAATAAAATAAAGGTTTCAATGTAACAACAAGAAATAAATATGAGTAATTTTGCCAAGAATTAGATCTATGGTTGTGTTCACTTGGAAAG